AAGAAAGAAAGAAAGAAAGAAAGAAAGAAAGAAAGAAAGAAAGAAAGAAGAAAGAGAAAGAAAGAAAGAACTCTGAATTCACCCAAGCTTCTCCAGTCTTTAATAAGAGGCTTTGTAAATAGTTGGAGTGTTGAGGGAATTATTTGTTTAGCAGAGTGATGGCGTTCGGGGAAAAGCTCTTCTTGTGTCTAGTTGTTCTGGTGTGCAGTGCTCTATACTGTTGTTTTGAGGGAAGGAGTTGAAGCAGTTTATGTCCAGGATGTGAGGGGTCTGTAGATATTTCCACAGCCCTCTTTTTGACTCAAGCAGTATACAGGTCCTCCATGGAAGGCAGGTTGGTAGCCATTGTTTTTTCTGCAGTCCTACTTCTCCTCTGGAGTCTGTGTCCATCCTGTTGGGTTGCAGAACCAAACCACACAGTTGTAGAGGTGCAGATGACAGACTCCATCATTCCTCTGTAGAACTGGATCAGCAGCTCCTTTCGGGCTTCCTGAGTTGGCGCAGAAAGAATATTCTTTGTTGTGCTTTTCTGATGATGTTTTTGATGTTAGGTGTCCATTTTAGGTCTTGTGATATGATAGAACCTAGAAATTTGAAGGTCTCTACTGTTGATGCTGTGTTGTCCAGTATTGTAAGAGGTGATACTACGGGAGGGTTTCTCCTAAAATCTGCCATTATCATTGTGGAAAACACTCTAAAATTAATATCTAATATAAGATGGAGTTGTAAGTCGAGGACTACTAGTTGTAAGTCGAGGCTGTTAAGTAAATCTGGTTTCCTCATTGAGCTTGCTTGTCAGAAGATCGCAAAAGAGGATCATGTGACCCCTGGACACTGCAACCGTCATAAATATGAGTTGAATGTCAATCATGCGAGCGTGGGGATACTGCAATGGTCATAAGTGTGAAAAATGGTCACTATTTTCAGTGACATCATAGCTTTGAACGGTCCCCAAATGAACTCATGGTGAAATGGCTGTCAGATAACAGATAATCAGAGTTGGAAGGGACCTTGTAGGTCATCTAGTCCAACCCTCCCCACCCAAGCGGGAGACCCTACACCATTTCTGACAGATGGGAGTCCAATCGCTTCTTGAAAGTCTCAGGTGATGAAGCTCCCACAACTTCTGAGGGCAACTTCTGTTCCATGGGTTGATTGTTCTCCCTGTCAGAAAGTTTCTCCTTATTTCCAGGTTGAATCTCTCCTTGATCAATTTCCATCCATTATTCCTTGTCTGGCCTTCAGGTGCTTTGGAAAATAGCTTGACCCCTTCTTCCTCTCTGTGGCAGCCCCTCAAATATTGGAAGACTGCTATCCTGTCTCCCCTGGTCCTTCTCTTCACTAGACTAGCCAGGCCCAGTTCCTGCAACCATCCATCATATGTTTTAGTCTCCAGTCCCCTAATCCTCCTGGTTGCTCTTCTCTGCACTTTTTCTAGAGGCTCAACACAAAAAGAAACTATAGATCAACCCACCAAAAACCTAACTATAAAAGACAGATCAGAAATAAAAGTTAAAATAAGCAGAAAACAGTAAGAGAGCACCTAATAACCAATAACCTCCACTAATAATCTCCTGGGAATCTTCCGTTACAGGCTTGCAAACTCTTAATGGATGATTACGAACAGGTCCGGAGCGTCGCAGTGCAGCTCACCTGGGTCCTTAGCCAGCTTTACGCAGAAAGGTACGTGCAAGGTATAAGGTAGTTCAGAAGGCACGAGAGCCTGTAAGTAACAACTCATAAAACATTTTGTGCACACGTTTTATAGTTGTCAACAGAAAGAAGGTGGGGGGGAGTTTCAAAGAGCAGGCAGCAGTGTGGAATCGAAAGTACATTCCATTCATATTTTCTTCAAAGACTGATTAGATGACTGAAGCTTCGTCTGCAAAAAAATCTAATTGGAGAGCATGATTGATGACTCTTGGCTATGGACGTTTTTTTTTGTTTTTTGTTGTTTTTTGTTTTCGTTGAATGATACACCCAGAGGGTGGGGTGGGGAAAACAGGACCAAGGGTGACAGCGAATTTACGTATCTCAGAGTCGGCTATGCCCAGGCTAATGCCGGCATGTTAACTTCTAATAAATCCTTTGCAGTTTTGGGAGTGTGGCTCAAAGCTCATGATTTAATTGGAGTAACCGCCTGACAGATAGCCGACTTTGAGATATGTAATTCCGTAATCCTGCCTATAAGCAGGATTTGGAGAAGCCATTTTGGGAGGGGAATTCTGGGAGTTTGAAGTCCAGACATCTTGTAGGTGCTTTTTCAAGGGGCAACTGGACTTTTGGGTTTTTCTTTGAAGACGTCTATGGAAATTCTGTCATCCAGGTCATGGTTGTCCCAAAGGTGCTTTTTTTCCCCCAAGAAGTAACTGGACTTTCTTTGTATTTCCTTGAAGACATTTCACTTCTCATCCAAGGAGCTTCTTCAGCTCAGACTGGATGGTGAGGAAGGGAATGATTTATACTCCTTTGCAGACAGCTGGTCATTTGCATCCTTTTCAGAGTGTCGTTGAGGCCACTTGGAGGTTTATCTGTATCCTCAGGGTCACCTGAATAGTAGGGTCACCTCAATGGTGAAAAGGACCAGGGGCAGAAAACATCCTGCAGCCAAGAAGGCTCTACATCCATTTGCACTATTCAGGTGAACCTCCAAGTGGCCTCATTGACTCCCTAAAATAATGCAAATGACCAGCTGTCTGCAAGTATCAATCCTTCCATTCCCCACCATCTAATCAGAGCTGAAGAATCTTCTTAGATGAGCAGCGAAACATCTTCAGAGAAAAAACCAAGAAAGTCCAGTTGTCTCCCATAAATACCTGGAGGACTGAGAATCTCCACAGACAGACGTTGTCATGCCCCTGTTGGAGTCTGACTCCGAGGGAGAGGAGGAACAGCCGACAGGGAGTGGGAGTGTGGCTCCGGAGGTTGTGGAGGAAACTGGGAAAGGGCACTGGCTAGCTGGGCAGTCAGAGGAAGACCCAGGCCTATCCCCTCTTCATCCTAGGGCACGCAGGGAGGAACGGAGAAGGGAGAAACGTGAGTGGCATAGTCTGCGGGGGAGGAAGGGGCCCTGATCCCCTTCATGGGCTGCAGCTGTGAGGACTGTTTAAAAGAACAAACTGCACATGGCCCAGTGCTGGAAGCAAAACGTGCATTATTCTTGTCGGAGCTTATCTGTGTTTTGGCTTCCTCCCAACTGTGGTGGCTGCTTATCTGGTAGAAGTCTGCAATTAATCATCCTCGCCTGCCCTAGTAATTCCTTCAGTGTGGTCTCCCTCCCTCTCTCGCTCTCCCTCGCTCTCCCTTTCTCTCCCTCCCTTTCTCTCTCCTTCCCACCCTCCCTCTCTCTCTCCATCCTTCCTTCTCTCTCTCTCTCTCTTTCTCTCTCTAGCATTGTCCCCATCCCATCTTCCAATGAAGAAATCCGGCTGGTGGACGATGCTTTTGGGAAGATCTGTCACATGGTCAGCGACGGCTCCTGGGTTGTGAGAGTCCAGGCTGCGAAGCTGTTGGTAAGAAGGTTTCTCCTCCTTTTTCCGTTGCCATGGTGATCATCCCTAAACTGCCAGCTGGTCCATGAAACCCAAGATGCTTAATTGTTCTCTCTCTCTCTTTATGTTCGATCTGCCTTTGTGCTGAGCCTCAGAAAGCCTCACCCTGAAGCTCAAAAGGAGTGAAGGGAAGCCAGGGAGGAAGTGGGGGGTCGAAAAAAAAAAAAAAGGTTCCATTGTGGAGTCTCTTTTATTTATACGGGGCAAAAAGATTGTTTGCCACACTGCAACATGGTGATTCGACCAGAAGAACAAAACAGAATAAAGAGAGCTAGAAGGGACCTTGGGAGGTCTTCCAGTCCAACCCCCTGCGTAGGCAGGAAACCCTATACCCATGATGGCGAACCTATGGCACGCATGCCACAAGTGGCATGCAGAGCGCCATTTGTGCTGGCATGCAAGCTGCAGGCAAACTTACCTCACTGTGCATGCGCGCCCCTCAGCTGATTTTTTTTCCGGTTGGTTCGAGGCCTTTTTCGGCACCCCAGAGGCTTGGAAAAAGCCTCTGCAAGGCTTTTCAGGACGAATAATAGGCCCGTTTCGTCACTTCCTGTAATACCGGAAAGTGACAAAACAGGCCTAAAATTTGTCCTGAAAAGCCTCTGCGAGGCCCAAAAAAGGCCTCAAACCAGCTGAAAAAACAGCTGTGAGGCGCAGTGCAGGTAAGGGGGTGGCGGGGGGGGGGATTGTGCACGCATGCGCGGGGGGCATGGGGTGGGGGCATGCGCATTGTATTCTCCTTAGTTCTAGGTTGCTTCTCTCCTTGATTAATATCCATGCGTTGCTTCTTGTCCTGCCTTCTGGTGCTTTGGAGAATAGCTTGACTCCCTCTTCTTTGGGGCAGCCCCTGAGATGTCGAAAAACTGCTATCATGTCTCCCCTAGTCCATCTTTTCATCAGACTAGACTACCCAATTCCTGCAACTGTTCTTCATATGTTTTACCCTCCAGTCGCCTAATCCTCTTGGTTCTTCTTCTCTGTTTTTTAAACCTTTTTGCCCACTTTTTGAATATCTAAAATAAGAGAGTGGGTTATCCTACAGAAGGTCTCTCTGAACTTGGCAACTTTAAGGCTTACCGTAAACAAAGAACAGTGCTTCAACTCCCAGAATTCCCCCGGGGATTCCGGGAGTTGAAAGCCATAAATCTGAAAGCCACCCAATTTGGAGATCTCTGTTTTGAAGCACAAAATTGTCCTCACTCCCTTCAAAATGACTTGACGCTCTCAACCCCACCTATCCGACGGGACTTTAATAACTGTCTTAACTTTCCTTGTGCTTGGGATGAAAATGACATTCTGATGAACGCTCTTCCTTCCCCGCCTGTTTTCCAGGGATCTATGCAGCAAGTTAGTTCTCATTTTTTAGAGCAGACCTTGGACAAGAAGCTGATGTCGGATTTGAGGGTACGGTATTCTGTTTTGTTTTGTGCTGGGGCTTATATACCTGTACATCCAACTCCTGGGACTGGAGGTTGCACAGTTGATTCTTTGGAATGCTTTCTGCTTTTATTTTATTACTGTATCCCACCCCTACTCAATCTCTCCTCTCCCCTGCACTCTACTCTACTCTACTCTACTCTACTCTACTCTACTCTACTCTACTCTACTCTACCCTATACCTGCTCTATTCCCTACTCTACTCTACCTCTACTCTACTCTACTCTATTCTATCCCTGCTCTATCCCTACTCTACTCTACCTCTACTCTACTCTACTCTACTCTACTCTATTCTATCCCTGCTTTATCCCTACTCTACTCTACTCTACTCTACTCTATCCTATCCCTGCTCTATCCCTACTCTATCCTATCCCTGCTCTATCCCTACTCTATCCTATTCCTGCTCTATCCCTACTCTACTCTACTCTACTCTACTCTACTCTATTCTACTCTATCCTATCCCTGCTCTATCCCTACTCTACTCTACTCTACTCTACTCTACTCTATTCTATCCCTGCTCTATCCCTACTCTACTCTACCTCTACTCTACTCTACTCTACTCTATTCTATCCCTGCTCTATCACTACTCTACTCTACCTCTACTCTACTCTACTCTACTCTATTCTATCCCTGCTTTATCCCTACTCTACTCTACTCTACTCTACTCTATCCTATCCCTGCTCTATCCCTACTCTATCCTATCCCTGCTCTATCCCTACTCTATCCTATTCCTGCTCTATCCCTACTCTACTCTACTCTACTCTACTCTACTCTACTCTACTCT